AAGTTGGGAAAGCATTAATTAGGAGAAGAAACATGTCCGTGCTTAAGGTCTTCAGGTAACATACCCATGGATATGATTTTTTCTTGACGTGATCCGCCAATTACTCAACATAGTTTCAGGCCTTAAAAGAATAAACTCATCACTGGTGCTTATGTGAGCTTCCTTGATATCAAACAAATGTTTTGCAGTTAGAAAACGTTTACAATGAGAATGAAAATTCTAATGCAACAGTTATGTAAGTCTTGAAGATTTTGAAAGATATCGCACAAATTTTGCGAGTTAGAGCATCATTTATTCAACATAACTATTTAGAACATTCATGGGAGTCAGGAACACTATCTCATTGAAGTATGCTTTCAAAATAACCTTGCTTCAATTAGGACTTTTGAAGGTTGTAACGTGGTCTGGTTCATGGTTTTTTTTTTAAAAAAAGATTTTTAAGGCTCAAAATATTTGGTGCCCACCCATTCTTCATGATGTTCTCCAACCCTATGTTCAGTTAATTCAACATGAGTGTTCATCTCTCAAAAGGATTTTGTGACAGTCAAGGAAACGACGAGGCTTTCGAAGTAGAAACCACCCTCATGTCTTCGTGTTTGTAGTCACCAATTTGTTCTTTGTTGAGGACTTTTCTTTGCAGTCCTTTTCTTTGCAATTTTATTTTCCCTAACTTTTTCCTGAACTAATTCTTTTGAATTGATAGTCCAGCGGGATGCCTTGATTTTGCCTAAGTCACACGTTTTTATGTTTTTTTTTTGACTTAGCAGGCTTTTCTTTTTCTTGATTTTTGACTTTTGAACAAAATGTGTGACATTAGCTTGCATTTGCTTGTTGAGAGGATTGTGATTGCCTCGTTTCTTGATGAATGAGGGATAACATTGTGATTCCACATCTTCTAGATTCATTATACATGAAGGATAGCCCTCGTAGTTTCTCTTCAAAAAAACATCTTCCTTATGAATTTTGAACACTCAGTCAGATTAACTAAAAACTACCCTGCCCTAGGTTAAAATTCAAGGTTTTTTCGTATAGAAAAGAAACTTCTGCTTCAAAGGCTCAAAAGGGGTTAGCAAGGGATTATCTTCCTTATATCTCTGATGTTTAGGGATTTTAAAAAATGCCTGTACATCATCAGCAAGATTTTATCCAAAAGCAAACAACCAGAGATTTTGTGTTCTTTAGATCATCATCCTCCCTTCAATCTCTGCCTAGGCAAGAGAATGAGCAACAATTTGGTATCATAATGGAAAAAGAAATTTAAAATTTGAAAACAAATATGAGTGAAACGAATGAATTTATTCAAGACAAACATACTCATTGTATTAAGATAATCATTCAGATGCAAACAAGTTCTTACATGAAAACAATGTTTTGATAAACAAGAAAAGTTACAAAAAGCAGAAATAAGTTAATAATCTGGGAAGGCTTTCCATCTGGACTTGAATCACTGAAAACATCCTTCAAAACTCAAAGTGACCATCAATCGTGTTTACTCTTCGGCGCATGCTTGATTTGAACTTCAAAACCAACGTCCTTGAATGACAAGATACCACTTCTGACCAACTTCTGAACCTCAATCTTCAAAGCAAAGCAACCCTCCAAGTCATGCCCAGGAGCACCTTGATGAAAGGTACAAGCCAAATCAGCTTTGTAGTACCAATGTATCTTCTCAGGAACCTTCGGTGGAGGTCGGGTCTGAACCAAATTCCTCTGCATCAGGATAGGGAACAACTCTGTATAGGTAATTGGAATTGGATCAAACTGGGTTTTCCTCTAATTAGGAACTTGCTGATTCTGTTGATGAATAGGAGAAACATGATGATTCTGACAATGATTATTTCTTCCTCTGGTTCTCTTCTTGGAAAAGTTATTATCAAACTTCCTTACACCATTAGTTGAGCTACCATCTTCATATGAACATCCCTTCCCAACATCTTCTTCTAGACGCACTCCCACATTCACCTTGTCAGGAGAGTCATTAGGTGCATTAACCATCACCTTCTCATGAGAGAATGATTTTTCAGTGAAGACTTTTATCATCGCTTCGTCCCTCCTAGAAGGATTGACTTGGGCGGCAACCAGAATTTCAACCAAAACAGTCGAGTGATCCATACCAGCTTTCAAAATAGTCATCTCTCTACGGAGTTCAGAAACCTCTTGCTTGATATTCTCCATTGTTCTCTTAGCGCGAGTGTTGTACTGGTGAGACCAAAGGAAAAATAAGACTCGGAAAAGGACCTTTGAAAGTGAAACAAAAAATGTAGAATGATGTATGGTATGCAAAAGAGAGTTTTTATTTGATTTTCAAGGAACTCAAGATATTAAGTTGTAAACATCAAAGTATGAATATAGAAGATGAATTTTAAATTGGCTCCAAACATTGATCAAGTTATCATCAAGATCAATCATCCATTTTGGTGGATTAGGGTTTTCGCCCTATCAACACCCAAGATCCATTGAGCTTGACGAAACTTGTGATGTTTACAAAGAAAGACCTCCAAATTCCTTCAAAGTCAAGTGAAAAGGGTTTTATGGATGCATGAATGCATGGCTATGCAACAACCACAAGCAAGGTCACAAATAAAGTCGAAAGGTTCAACGTCACGAGCACGGAGTCAAGGTAAGGAACACCCCTAAGGTATGTACTAACGGTTTAATCACACCTGTAGAACAAGGTTCTAAGAGTTCCTGGAGTCTACATTCCTCCTTCGGATATTACCAACGTCTTGATTACTCAATAATCAGCAATATTCTCAAGAGAAACTCATCCGAGCGTAGCATCGCGTAACAATTACTTCCGGATTACTCCGTTATAATCTCCGCGCTACACCTAAAAGGCCAAGATGGGTTAGGGTTCTACGGTTCCCAGCTTCTTCTGGCTCCCAGGTCGAAAATAATAATGTCTTCCCGATTACTCGGTAAACAAATATTACGTTCAAAAGGGCCTTCCACTGAGTGGGGGATCTCATGCCTCCTTCTTCGGGATTACTCCCTCAAAGTTAACATGACTATACCGCCCGTCCTATTCCTAAGTGTAACTTAGTCCGGGTATAGGACTTGTCCTTTGTAAATATTATCAACACCCAAATAATCATAATATATACATATAATCAAACAATCAAATAATGATAAAACAGATAAACAAATTAGGCTTAACCCACTTAGGGATGGACCAGCAAGAGGTCAATCTATCCCCAGCAGAGTCGCCAATTCTGTAGCGGTGAAAATCGGAGATCAAGCTATTAATTAACTTGACTCATAAAAAGCAAGAGTCGCCACCGCGCTTTATTATTTCCAAGGGAAAAGGGAAAAGAGCGAAATAAAACCCTAAAATATGCAATGTAAAATAATACTTAAAAGTAATAAAAGATACAATGCGTTTTTAAAAGAGATCGAGAGTTCGGGGGTTGGTTATACAATGGGAAGGTATTAGCACCCAATGCATCTGCGGTACTCCGCAGGAACCTTTTGAAATATCTATTTTTCGGTTAAAATTGTTTGTTTGATTAAAATGGTTTATTTGGTTAAAAGATGGGTATGGACGAGATTTTGAAGATACGACGACCTAGTGTCGAAGTTTTGACTTAAAAGGAGTGAGTTTGAAAATGGAGTCTTTTGGGAAAATTGTCTTAAGTTTGGAAAAATAGTAAGCAAGCAAAACATGAATGAGGCTATTCGCACGATTGTGGAAGATGTATTTGATGACGTGAAGTCAACTGAGTTGAAACATTTCCCTTGGAATAAATCGAGCGAGCAAAATAAAATAGACGTCAAAATATGAACAATCAAAATTCACAAGAAAAATAAATATAACGAAACAGATTAATGACCTAAAGGTATCGAGAAAATTGAAATGACAAAGATATTCAAATAAAATAAAAGAGAATGTGACTAATTATCTAAAGAAGTTATTTAAACTAAATTAAAAATTACTTACTAAAATAATTCTAAACTAATTACAAATTCTAAGGTTATAAAAAAAAATCTAGTATTATTGAATTTGATCTAAACTAAACTAAAGTTTTAAAATTTAGTAAGTTAAATCTAGATTAAATTAAAATCCTAAGGTTACTAAATTAAATCTAAAACAAATGGAAATTCCAAAGTTACTAAACTAAATCTAAATCAAATAAAATTCTAAAACTACTAAACTAAATTTAAATCAAATAAAAACTCTAAAGTTATTAAACTAAATCTAAAATCAAATAAAATTCTAAAACTACTAAACTAAATTTAAATCAAATAAAAACTCTAAAGTTATTAAACTAAATAAAAATTATAAACTTATTAAACTAATTCTAAATCAAATAAAAATTCTAAATTTATTAAACTAAAACTAAACAAATAAAATTCTAAAGTTAACTTAAATAAAATTCTAAAGTTATTAAACTAAACTAAAACAAATAAAATTCTAAAACTTACTAAATGAAATAAAATTCTAAAGTTATAAAATAAAACTAAAACAAAAATAAAATTCTAAAGTTATTAATTATGATTCTAAATATTTTAAAGTTATAAAATAAATCTAAACTAATTAAAAAATTATAAATTAACACTAAACTAAATCTAAATATAAAATTTACTAATATTTTTTTTTATATATTTTTTTTTTGCATTTAAGATTTCCGACTTCTTTTATAGTTATATAATAGATGTTCATAGTACGAACTAACTTAGCATGTTCTCACTAATGCAGTTCCTTAGAATATCTTAGCTCTGTATATACATTATATCAACTGTAAACTCTGCCAATCAAATTTTTCATAAGCACATCAACGGCCATAAAAGCAAATGGAAAATGATCTGATACTTGCTTCATGATTATGTCATAGAAGAAATCTTAATAAGCCACAACCACATATTTGGTAGACAATACTGAAATTAAGTAGTAAACTGTAAACCAAACACATATTTATATTAAATGGGAAAGAAGCCCTTACTTTTGACTAATGAGGAGGTGGAAGGCAATGGCGGCGACAATGATGGACGGTGCTCTTCAATTACCAAAACTTGAAGAGGAGACCACTGTGGGTTGCAAAGAAAGGAGCAAACACCAGTGACTCAACTGCCATCAGTTTGATAAGGATGTTAAGTGAAGGTCCAGATGTATCCTTCAATGGGTCTCCAATGGCGTCACCAATAACTGCTGCCTTGTGTGGGTCTGACCCTTTTGGACCAAGAGTTCTTGCATGCTCTAAGGCACCAGCCTCAATGTATTTCTTGGCATTTTTCACAACCTTCTTTCGGATCAGCTGTCTCCTAAGAACTGCCAAACTCTTTGTATGCATGGGGGACTGTGGAAGGACTCCATTTGAAGGAGGAAGGCCGAGGAGACCGCAAATCAAAGTCATTATTCCAAGTAGGAAAACGTCATAATGGTAGGCAGATGGTTTTTGAAGGTTGAATTCTTTCTGTTGTGCCATCTTAGAAGCCACACTATGATCGAAAAAGTATAAATCCGCTATCATCGAAGCTGGAATAATTGCCCCAAATATATAAACCACAGGTACCTTCCACATATCCTTCGCTACTGTCCAGTGATAAAGAGACGCGGGTTCCCAAGGAAGTGGACAAAACAGCCTTCTAGAAACATCATGTGGAACAGTGCTTGGCTTTATATAAGATACTGCAGTCCACAACACAACCATCATTGGAACCCCATAATCTGCAATAAAGCCTCGTAGTTTCCTTGTTCCATATCGCCATGTTCTTGCTCTTCTGCTTTTAAGTGCGAAGACGATTAGTCCTAGAGAAAAAAATGACTGCAAGTAATCCATTTGTATACTGCCATTGAATTTGCTCCGAGGAAGGTTCTTCAACTTTGGGATTGCTGAACTCGCCTACCAGTCCCTTTATAGCCTCTTGAAAGAAAAGAACAGTGATAAGCATGCCAAATAACTCCCCTAAAATTCTTGTAAATCTAGTGATAATATTGCAAGCATTAAAAATTGCAAGCAAAATTAACATTAACGCTGTCCAAAAACAAACCCAACCAGCCCAAGCTAGAAAGAGCTCAGCACCCAAATCAGGTGTATTTTTGCAGAAATTGTAGAGATAAGTATACATTATAACAGTCGGTTCCGCAACTCCTAAAATCAACAAAGGTTGGCCACCTATAATCGAGTGGATAATTCCACAAATAGCAGTAGATGCTAATGTTTCGACCGTGCTCAAGCTTCCATTTGTATCCCTACTAAGTTGCTCTCCAAATGCAATAACAGGAAGTGCAGAAGTAAAGAATATGTAGAAAGTTGGAGCCAATATGCTAACACCAGAACAGATTGCACAGACCCAATCTTGTTTATAGCATTTAACTCTTCCTTTAACATCTTGAATGATTCCCTCGAACGGTGCCCCCATGTTAATTTCCTCCCACAGCTGAAGGAGGAAAATATTTCAAAGAAAGCGAAGAGGCACCGCGAATGTTGAAGGAGAGAAACCTAATGAAAAAGGTTCGGCAGCATGGAAGAGTGGGAAATTTGGAGAGAGGGGAAGTGATTTTCTATATAGTGAGAGGAAAGTATATGCAGAAAAGATGGTAGTCGATTGGTTTTTTGGAGGGTTTGAAATGGAAGAAGAGGTAAGTGGCATACGGGATGACGTGAGGTGACGATGGTGGTTTACAGAAAGAACGAAAGAAAATTTGATGGAAAGTGTTATGTTGGTAGTTGCAGTACAAAGGATGGTGTTGATGGTGAATAGAAAGTTAGAGAGAGTAGATGGGATACTGTTTTCTTTTGTGTTGTTGTTTTTGTTTTTTCTCCTCTTTACAAAGTGATAAAGGTGCTACTTAAATAAGAAGAATATTGTTTTCAGGTTTAATCCCATCCGTCCAAAATTATTAAATCTGCATCTATCCGCTATTTTTGCTAACAGCCAATAAGAATCAAGCACAGTGTAAATAATATTTTTTGTGACCAAATAACCCTTAAATGATAAAAATAACCAAAATGACTAAAACAATAAAATAAAATAAAAACGGAAGAAAATTTATCCGAAAAATTAATATGAACACATTAAAATAAACTACATGTAAAAAAGATTAAAGAAAAAATATTCAAAAAGTCAAAAATCAAAATAAAATAATAATAAAAATATCAGGCTAAATAGACATTTTACGATTAAAAAACGAGACTTCAAACTGTATCGAAAAAAATAAAGCGAGCATACCGTCATAATCTATGCGAGATGCAGATTCATAAAATGATCGGTAAAAGGTGAAAACTTGAAATATTTTCCTCGCTAATTTTTCGCACATTATTGAATCGCTTTTAACAGTTTGTCTATAAAACCAAAATATTTTTATTATCGACACATAAACAACTTGGAGCAATGCAAGAAACGAGTAAAGAGATAAAAATGCATGAAGTGAAATGTCAGGTATTTTTTAACTAAAAGACGATGCAAACTTTGATGTAAACTGACTTTTCTGGTCAACTTAAATACGACTAATGATGCAAAATATGATGAATGAAAATATTTACTAATGATTGTGACCAAAATGACAAAATATGGTACGAATGTGCGACTGAAAAAATTAGGGGCGAAACTAAGGGTGCAACGGTGTGCCTTGATGAATCAGTCTTCGAGAATCCACAATCAACTGTACTTCTGGCTTGGGAGACTCAAAACCTTAATTGAGGCGCGACACCTGATGCTCTTGATTCAGACCTGTCTCTGCACATGACACAAAAGAAAACATGAACATACACCTTTGTATGCGATTAGAAATTAGTGATACATATGCTAAAAATGTTCAAAACACTTGACAATCTTCGCATAGTCAAAGCTCGAATGTGAGACGTTAAAACCGACCGTATTTCGTGACCTTGACTTATCTTTAAAAATGCAAAAAATAAAAATGGGATCTTAGGTCAAAAATTGGGGTACAACACATTTTCTCTCAAGTTTCATTTCCTACTCGGTTCTACTACTTTGAAGTTGAAAGAAGAAGATTGGTTGGGTTTCTTGCTTCAAAACCAGAGGAACATTGTGAATTTATTTTCCACAACTTGAGGTAAGTTTCATGAACTTCAAATATCACATTTTTGCATGAATTTCTGCTTTAGATCTTGTTCATATTATGTTAGATGGCCAGATCTTAGATCTTATGTATAATTGTGTATGAATCTTTGCTTTAATCATGCTCTGCAAGTTGTGTAAAAACTCAATGCATCAATGCTTTCGTGCTTTTTTTTTTCTTTGATCTTGCAATATTTAAAAAATCTATTATCATTTTGTTGTTCCTTTCTATTTTATGATGAATTTTGATGTTTGGATCATGTGATTTTGTTGAGAATCAAGTGAGAAATTTAGATATGAAAATTGGTTGATAAATTTGCATTTAAGAAATCATGTCCATGCAGTGACCTTAGTGCTTCATTATCTCTATTATCCATTCATCATTTGTTGAATTTCTTGATTCTATTGCATTTTACGCATTTTGATCTTTGAACTTTGATGTTTACACCAAACATTTTCATCAAGAAACGAGATAGTTATGAAGCTCTGAAACTGGCATGTTGAAACTGTTAATTTCGTTAGGGTTTGGTTGTTTGGTATGGATGATGAGGTGCCAGTGTCTGATTGAACATGTTTAAAGGCTTTTCACAGTGCTTCTTATCACAAACAGATGTAGTAGATCTAGATTTATTTGAATTTTGCTCCACTTTTAATTGTTTTCTCCAATTTTATTTTAATAGTTTCTTTAATTCAAAAACTACCAAAAAATTATTGTAGACTTTATTTTTAGTCTATTTTCATATTTTGAATTTTATTTCATGATTTTGTTATTTTTAGGTTATTAATTAATTCGCATAGATTAATTAGTTGTTTTAATCACATTTTAGGTTTTTGATTTTATTTTCTAATTTTCACCAACCTAAAAAATCCACAAAAAATATTTAGAGTTTCTTTTTTAGTCTAATTCATGACAATAATTTTTTTCCTATTTTACAGAAATCATGACACTCTAATTAAATTAATTGATTAAATGTGTCACTTTTTTTTTAATTTTGTTACATTTTGCAATAATTTATGTTTTAATTTTTCCTCTTGTGATAAAATTTCAGATAAATATGTTTAGTGTTACTTAGATATTAAACTAAATTTTCATGATTTTTAATTTGATTTACAATTCAGTTTGCTTAGTTTGCAAAATTGTCAAGTTAACTGTTGCTTTTGATCCCTCTTCATGCTTAAGCCTAAATAAATATTTAGTTTTCCAATTTCCATTACTTATGAAAATCAAAGAAAATAAGTTTGAGGTTTTTGGATGACTTGAGATCATGAAAAAAAATCATTTGAATTTTAAGTATTGATATTACATTTTTCACAAATTATTTTGTTAAACCTCTTTAGTTTGGGCCTTTTGCCAACTAGTCTTGACAATTTCAAATCACTTTCACTTTTTAAAGTAAATCCAAGAATTTTAAGTCATGTTTATGAATTTTATAAGTCTTTGGGGAGTTATTATTAAATTGAAAATAATTTAAAAACTATTTTCCTATTTTAAACCTAATTTTGACTTACAAGTGTGAATAGAAGTTTACCTTGTCTAACTTGCTTTCAATTGTGGGTTTATGTGCATAGTTTTGGGCCAATATTTTGAGTATGATATGTTACTGACTTGGTATTACCATGATACATATTTTATATTTTTCTAATTCCTCTAACTCACTTTTCCTTTATCAATTTTTGTTTGTCTCTCATGGCCTTCTCTCTTGTATTACTTTGTGTGCAATCTTCTTCCATTGTAATGCTTGATTGATTAATATTAGAATTTTTTTGTGCTACTGACTTGCATGTAATACATCATCTATTCATGTTTTCCCTTCATCTATGCCCTTTCTTGAACTTTACTTGCCTTTAGGAGCATGATAAGAGGTGCTTTGACCTAATTGTTGCACTACTTGGTGTGTGTGTGTATGTGTATGTGGTGATGCCTTAGGGATGATTAGAGGTTGTAGAGTGTGTTAACGTTGTGTTTTTTCTTATGAATTTAATTCTATTTTACACTCCATTCTATTATTGACCAGTCACCCACTTGTTTCTATTTCACATTCACTCTTTGTCTTGACTTGGTATATGTGTGATATCTGTTGATTATTGTTGAGGACCTTGAGTCCAACATTTTGTGTTTAGTATTTAATCTTAACTTATTCTCTCACCTCAATTCTTTATGCTCTTATGATCCTTTTAGTTAACACTCATTTTCCAACTAACATGGTTACCTAATAAGAACTACATTTGTCTAATTTCACTTGTTTTTTTAGCAACCTTGTCTAGTGATTTCCTCATAATCTTTGTACTGTGTTTGATTGAGATATATTGATGTTGTCCATTGCCTATAACATCCAAGAATCTTGAGTTTGATCTCTTTAGATCACCTATTCTTGTATGCATTAGAAACTACAACTTTCACAAGTTATCATGACACTTAAGCTTGTCAGATCAATGACATTGCTTAGGGTTTTAAGTTCATGATAGATACTTTAGATGGGATAGTTCCACTTCCCTATGACCTATAAGTATCATTCTTCTTAATTTTATTTTATCTTTATCAATTTCATTTGGTTTAAGATAAATGGTTTCCATCTTTTATGATGTTAACTATAAAATTCTGTGACTTTGCTTGTGTATAAAGTTTCATCTTCATGATATGTTACTTTTGAACCTCATCATAAGTTAACTTATAACACAAGTCACACATGTCACAATTCTCAAACTATGATCTTTTTATTTCATCGTTACTCTCTTAATTAAACTTGCTAGTTTTTGTCTCTTTGAATTACTTCTTTTGTATGTTATGTGTGCAACTTCTATTCTTTAATTGTGATACTTGAACATGGTGTTTTATATGTAATTTGATACTGACTTATATTTCTCAACACCTTATAACCTTGCTCCCTCTTCATCTATCCCTTTCCTCTTTCACTTTTCCTTTTAGGTTTGTTTGTAGGGTTTGATTTTGACCTTTCTCCTTACTAACTGTTATACCCCAAAATTTTCCCTCTCATTTCTCAAAGGATCATCCTGGACCCTCATGTTTACTCCTATCAAGTTTCAAGTCTTGAATTACAACTTTTCAAGAAAATCATTCACAAGGGCAAAATGGTCAAAAGCACACTGAAAAGTCAAACTTTGACTTTTAGATCAAATATCAAGTCTCAACAATTATATTTTATCAAGACGTGAAATTGGTTCATCAAAAAATCAGAAGTCAGAAATTACTTTGAAAAAAATCAAATTTCTAAACATTTAGAAAATTTTCTAAGTGTTAAGAGAATATGATACTTCAGAACTTCTAAACCAACCTCCACGCAAGTGCAGTCAGAAGTTGCAAGCATGGTTCAGAACAT